AGTTCGAGCCCCGCGTCGGGCTCTGGGCTGATGGCTCAGAGCCTGGAGCCTGTTTCTGATTCTGTGTCTCCCTCTCTCTCTCTGCCCCTCGCCCGTTCATGCTCTGTCTCTCTCTGTCCCAAAAATAAATAAACGTTGAAAAAAAAAGTTTAATAACGGCTGCTTTGTAATTTATTTATTCTCTGGTAGGACTACCCCCCCCCCCCCCCCCCGCTTCGTTAATTATTCTTCCCTTTTCAGAGTTTCCCCGCACAGGCTTGCATGCTCGCTTTCCTCACGGAACTAAGCAGCCTGAGCTTCAGAGCGTTTTCTTTATCTTGCTGTTCTGAAGTTTCCTGTTAGCATTTTGGCTGCAACCGTAACTGTCGAACACGTGTTGCCCTGGCGTTTGGTGGGTTCCCGGCGAGGCCGCAGCCGTTCTCTCCAGGTGACTTAGGTGACTGCAAACAGCGGTGGGGGGCTGGGGGGTGGGATGTTCCTGCACCGGCTCTCCAGAGGTTTACTGGGCGGTGCAGCGGGATCGGCTTCTCAGGTAGACGGTGCAGATTCTCAAAGTGGAGAAAGAAACCTAGGAGCTTCATCAGCCCTGTTTTTTACTTTTCCAGAGCCTTCCGTTCGCAGCCCCTCACCTACCTAGGCACAACTGACCTTTTGTGGCCAGGCAGTTTTTCCTGGTGTGGGGGGCTCCCCTGTGCACTATGGGTTGTGGGGCAACAGCCCTGACTGGCCTCCCCCCACCGAGCGCCCCTAGCACCTGCCTGCCTAGTTGGGACAAACCCAAAATGTCCCCTAGACGTCGCCACACATGTTCTGGGGGTGCAGGACCACCCCGGGTAAACACCACTGCTTTGGCAAAACCATTTTTATTGTCCCTTTACCTTTGAATCTGAAACACTGCCCCAGAGGGGTGGCTTAGCGAAAATGGGGGCTTCCCTCCCACTGGAAGGTGGCTCTGTGATCATCCAATGGGGGACGGAGGAGGCCCACGGCAGGCGGTCTCCTGAGGCAGCAGGAAGCCCCCCCCGGCCCCCCCCCCCCCCCCCACTGCTAGTATTCATCCTTCTCCGAGTAAAAGCTTTCAATCTCAGGCTGGTACATCTTGCCCACGTTGGCCCTCTTCAGTTTGGCGGTTGCCCCTGAAACAGAATCACGTCCAAGGGGGGGCCCCCCCCCCCCCCCCCCCCGCAGGATGAGATGTCGGTGAGCCAGATCCGTCCTAAGGACGCAGAGGGGTGACTGGATTGAGGGGCCCGGGGAAGAGAGGTCCGAGAGGCCTATCTCCGAATGCCTGGTGGTCTGGGGACCACCGCGGGTGACCGCCTGCCAGATTCCTCAGAGGCGCTGGTTACAAATGCAGGTGCCAGGGATCCCAGCCCAGGAGATGGTGGCGTTTTGATGAGTACCCCAGGGCCTTGGGTGTGAGCGACCGCGCCCGGACCCCTTCCCCGGCCCGTGTCCACTCACCCAGCTCCCCTCCGGCCATGGAGAAGTCCGTCTCAAGGATGGTCCACTTGACGATCTTGGCGCTGTTGGAGGTGACCTCTGCATTGGCAGCATCGATCCCCTGACCGATGAACTCTGTGACCACCGGGTCTCTGTCACAGACGATGTCCGACAGCCTGGTGGACTGGCTCTTGAGCTGCCGGCAGAAAGCGACCGCCTCGCTGCTCAGCGCGTTCCGAGGCTCCCCCGTGTCCGTGTTGATCTGGCACTGTCGTTCGGGGAAGGCGGGTCAGGTGGCTCTCACGCGGCCCCCAAGCCCGGCTCCCCGTGCCGGGGCTTGCACTCATGGTCCCGACCCTGGGAGGGCCAGGTCCCCACCCCCGTTGTACAAATGAGGAAGCAGGCTCAGCCTGGGGGACCTGCCTGGCACTTCCCCGCTTCCTGGGGGCTGGTGGGCCGGGCTCAAGTCCCTCTGACATTTTTCTGGAAACAGGCCAGGAGCTTCTCCCCTACAGGCACAGCCAATGCCCCAGGCCCACGACATGGGGAGCTGGCACTGAGCAACCAACCCACTGCCTCTCCTCTCCCAGCCTCGGTCTCCCCATCTTTTTTTTTTTTTTTTATGTTTATTTATTTTTGAGAGAGACAGAGACAGAGTGTGAGTGGGGGAGGGGCAGAGAGAGAGAAGGAGACACAGAATCCGAAACAGGCTCCAGGCTCCGAGCTGTCAGCACAGAGCCCGAGGCGGGGCTTGGACCCACGAACCGTAAGATCATGACCTGAGCCGAAGTCAGATGCTCAACCGACGGAGCCAGGCGGGTGCCCTCCCCCCCCCCCCGTTTTTTAAGTTTATTTTGAGAGAGAGTGCACACTCATGGGTAGGGGAGGGGCAGAGAGAGAGAGAGAGAGGGAGAGAGAGAGAATCCCAAGCAGGCTCCGCACTGTCAGCACAGAGCCTGATGCAGAGCTTGAACTCACAAACCACGAGATCATGACCTGAGCGGAAACCAAGAGTCAGACGCTTCACCGACTGAACCCCCTCCCCAGGCGCCCCAGTCTCCCCATCTTGAAACCAGGATGGCCGCCCCCATCCAGCCAACAGCCCAGACTTGCCACGAGGCTCAAAACCAGCTGAGGTACCTTGAGCGTGAGCAGGGCACAGAGGTATGGGGCGTCCTGGCCCACCAGCACGACGTAGCGGACAACGGGAATGTGCCTCTTCACCCGCTCCTCGATGGGGTTCGGGTTGATCTTCTCACCTGAACTGAGGGTGATGAGATCTGCAGGCGGAGAGACAGGAAGGTTGTGGTCCTGAAAAGCTACATCAAGTCAGCTGTCTGGAGCCCAGAGCCACCCCTGGATGCTCAGAAACAACGGAGATAGAGATAGACAGCATACAAAGGGTGCCCCTTCCTCCAAGCTGGACTTCAGTCGTCCCTCATCATCGTGCTGTGTGCAACCTGCACCACCGTCCGCAGCAGCCCCGTGGGGCCTGGTCAGAGGCAGAGAGCACCCTGCAGCCTGGTCTTGCTCACCCCTTTCGTTGCCCGTGACGTAGAGGAATTCGTCATCGTCCAAAAAGCCCAGGTCCCCCGTGCGCAGCCAGCCATGGAGATCAATCTTCTCCTGGGTTTTCTCCTCATCGTCGAGGTACCCCATGAAGATGTTCTGGCCCCAAATGTGGATGTCCCCAATGCCATCTCCATCTTCTTTCTGGGTCTTGGTGCGGGTGCTGGGGAGGGACTTCCCACAGCTGGGGACAGTGGGCAGGGAGGGGGTGATTATAGACACCAGGTACAGATCCCCACTGGCTTAGGGGTGCCCCCTGCTCGCTGCCCCTCTGCCCCCAGGCACACAGGTGTCAGATCCCAGGCCTCTTCTGCCTGCCTGGCTGCTAGAGTCCCATAGATCCAAAGTAGGGGACAGATGGAGAAGGGAAACAGGGTGCGGTCCCCCAGGGAGGGAAGGCTTGGCCCACCCTGACTCAGAGCCAAGCTTGCAGGGCACGTGGACGCACGACACCCGGCCCCTGGCCCCTGGGGAACCCACAGGTAAGTACGGGGGACAAGGCAAGGGACAGGTAAACTCAAGACACCATCTGGGTGGAATTGGCTGCTGTGAAAGGTATCTGGGACGGAGAGGAAGCCATGATCCAGGCGAGAATGAGGCAGCTTACCACCTGCTTATCTCCTTGGAAAGGGGGGCCAGGGGAAGATGCTTTTGCTTCACCTCTCAAAGTTCGAGGGTTCCTGTCCAGGCACCCAGACCCCCGTCCTTGCCCTGCTTCCCCCAGGCTGTCTGGAGACTCAGGGCAGGGCCTCCAAGCTGGCCCAGCCAACACCCAGGATGCACCCTGCCCGGACTGAATTGCGTCACCCTCATTCGGTTTAGATGAGGCCCTGAGGGTGGGGCCTTCGTGATGAGTCTGATGTCCTTCACGAAGAGACACCAGAGTGAGCTTGCTAGGCCTCTCCCACCGCGCAGAGACACGGAGAGGAGGCGGCCGTCCCCAAGCCAGAGAGAGGTGCTCCCCCAGAACCGAATCCACGGCACCTTGATCCTGGGCTCGCAGCCTCCAGAACTGAGAGTAAATCTCTGCGGTTTAAGCCCCCCACCCCCTCCGGTGTGGGGCGCTCCGTTACGCCAGCCCCGAGCTAAGACACACCCCACGAGGGCCGACGCCCAGCCCCCAGGGCAGCGCGAGCTCCGAGTTCACGTTCAGACGCTCCCTGAATGCGCAAACTGCCCAAAAGGAATGAATGGAAGCTGAGAGCCCTCAGTGAGCGGCCCTTGTTGTGACTTCACGTCTGCGAACACCACTTACCACGGGCCGCTTTACGGCTTGTGTGGAGTGATCTGTTCTGGAAGGACCAAGGGCTGTCTCTGGCTGCCTACATTGCAAGCCCCACACCCCGCGTGGGAGGGGTTCTGTGACGCCTGGTGTCCCCGCTGTAACCCTAGGGGTGTGACACAGGCCAAGCAGCCACCTAGGAAGCACCGCTGGGGCCCGGACCAGAAACTCCCAAAACCACCTCCCAGCGGCCGAGTCACCTCTCCTTCCTTCAGCCTCCCTGCCTGACCCCCTTTCTGCCCTGCCTCTCTGGGTTTGGGGGTCGAGGTGAGCAAGTGCTTTGTGATTGGCTCTTTGTCCTGTCTCTGCTGAAAGTTGATCCCACCTCCCCCAAAGCCAAGGCGCACTAAGGATAGTGAGTCTCTCCCTGACCAAACTCTGGTCGGGCTCCTCTGAGCCCTCTTCTCGCTGGGTCCTAGCCTTGACGTCTAAGAGCCGCAGGCTCTGTGCTCGAACGATTGCATCCACTCCCACACAGAAAGACCTGAGAACATACTCGCGTTTCTGAAAGCGCGGGCCCCATCCCCAGGATGACCCCATCCCCCCGCCCCCCGCATTCCTGCCCGAGAAAACCCCGAGCTCCCAGGAGAACTTCCCAGATGGCCGCTTAAACTCCCCCCGCCCCGTAGACTAGCTCCTTTAAAAAGCTTGCGGATAAGTCCTTTCTCCGCCCTTTGAGATGCAAATCTACTCCCCAGAAAGGTCTCCTCCCTTTGAAATGCAAACATTCGGGAGATAAACTCTGGCTCTCTCCTCCAGCTCTTGTGGGAGGTAACGGGCCCCACCGCGGAGGGGCGGCTGGCACTGACCTCCACCATCGCCTCCTTCCAGAAACGCGCGAGGAGTTTATTTCTCTCTAGAGCGGCACCGGTCTGCGGACACCCGGATGAGTTACTGAACCCCCTCCCTTCCTGCTTTTTGTGTGTGTGCGACTGCCATTTCCCAGACCACTCAAGCCCTCACCAGCCTCCCCTACCCCACAGACTCTAAGATGTTCGGTCCCCTCGGCCCAGATGGAAATGGAGGTCCGATCGTACCGGACCCTCCTCGCGGCCGCGGTCGTACTGCGTAAAATCTGCCCCTGTCCCCGTTGGAGAGGTGAGCCCCAGGTGAGGAAGATCCAGGACAGGAGAGAAAGCCGCCACACCAGAAGGGCCATGACTCTCGCCCCGGTCGCCTGTTCTGTCCGTTCTTCTTTCAACTCGGCACGAATCCTCCGGGAAGCCTGCGGGGGACCCCCAACTAGATCGGAGGCTGCAGTAGCCGGCCTCCTGGGTGGCTCCCAAAGATCCCTTTGCCCACCCAGAATCCACATCCTTGTGCGGCCCCCTCCCACCCTGGAGGGGGCTGATCTGCACGACCCCGTCAGAAGTGGCAGAAATAACGAAGGGCCACTTCTGAGGTGAGGCCGTGATAGGGTTGCCAGATCAAATGGGAGGTGCCTCGTAAGATGTCTGTCTCAATTACGAGTTCAGTCGCTCCCTGGTGGTCTAGGGGTTAGGATTCGGCGCTCAGTACAAGGACGTCCTAGATATTGTAGGGGGCTATACCGATACTTTAAAATAATCCGAAAGGTGTTGTTTATCTGAAGTTTCAAACGTCCCCTGGTGTCCCGTACATTTATTTCCTGTCCCAAAGGAGAGGGTGGCGTCCACCTTGCTCTTTCGGGGGGTCTCTCGTATGAGGGGAGCGGATGCCGTGGTAGGAGGACCCCCCAACTGAGGAACTGGGGCCAGCAGCTCGACCTCGTCAGGGACCCAGAACCACACAGCTACAAAGCAGCGCCCCTAAATTGCCCCCCCCCCCCCCCCCCCCCCCCCCCCCCCCCCCGGACCAGGAAATAACGTTTGTTGCAGCCTTTACAACAGCAGTGAATGCGTTCTCTCCCAAGGTGCCAGGGGGGCAGAAATAATCGGCCATTAGTAAAAATGATGGTTTGCGAATTACAAAACCAAAGAACAAATCGGAAGGGCTCCAGGTCATGCCATACCTGGGTGCACCTGCTTTTTCACTCATCGGCCTTTGGGTCTGCGTTGCGGGGGGACAGGGCCGGGTGATAGCGGGCACCCACCTGGTCCGGGAGCGAGCGGCGGTGGGGGAAGGGGGTTCAAGGCGAGCCCCGCCCCCCCACCCCCCCCCCCCCCCCCCCGGGGCCCCGGGGGCCCCCGCGCCCCCCCCCCCCCCCCCCCGCCCCGCGGCAGGGCCAGGTGCTGGAAGTCCTTTCCGCCGCCCCGGCCGGGAGCCGTGTGGTGAGTGGGGCAGGGGGGCAGTTAACAGCCGCGGCCAGAGCTCCGGCGGGGATGGCAGGGACCATCTGCTCCCAACTGCCCCCATCAGCGGGACACGCAGGATCCGTGTCCTTCCCCAGGTGGCTCAACGCGCCATTGGCTGTCTCTGGTCCTGTCCACCCTCTCCCAGAACCCGAGTCGGGGTGAAGAGGTGCGTGGAGAAGAGCCGGGAAGGGAAGGTGCGGATACAGAGACCCACAGAGATGGAGGGAGGGAGAGACGAGACGAGATACAGAGGGAGGGATGGGGGTCGGAAGGAGAGAATAGGAGGAAGTAGGGCACGGGGACGGACAAACTGCGCCCTTGTCACTCTTTTCAGACCTCCTTCCAGGTACCGGGAAAGGTTCCCGCAGCGAGACCACCACCGAAACATGGACCCTGAACGCTGGCGAGTGAAATCTGTACCAAGCGAGGCAAATCCCACCGCGCCCGCCCAAGCCAGCCTTTCTACCGGCCAGGACACGGGTGGCAGAGGCCAGCCCCAGGGCCGAGATGGCTTTGACGTTGTGGAAAGGCCTCTCAAGAGTTCCGGGAGGGCAGCTGTTTTGTGACGCGTGAAAGCACGACACCGAAACTTTCGTCGTCCGAAAAGTTTTCCAGTTTGGGCCGCGGGGAACCTGCAGGTACGTGTTCTCTCCCTGGGAACCTACACGGTGTAGGGAAGCCTAGATCACTTACTGCCTGGCCCTTCGCAGGAAAAGCCTTCGAGCCCCTTGGCTGAGGGAGTCCTAAGGATCCGGGCAACAATGTCAGTGTTTGTTTCCCCCTAATTCCTGTCTTGGGAATTTTGTGTTTTTCTACATTCGGAGAGTCAGCACAACCGTGACTGACGTTTCGTGATGAATGTCAGTGACCTCGTGTGCTTTTTTTTTCTTTCAACTGGAAGTAAAATTCACCAAACACCATTTTCACCACCTCTAAGCGCACAGCTCAGCGGCCTCAGGCACATGCACGCTGTCGTGCAGCCGCCCCCGCCATCCGTCTCCAGAACTTTCCATCTCCCCAGACTGAGACTCTGTCCCCATGAAGCACGGACTCCCCACCCCTGGCTCCCACCATCTACTCTGTCTCTGTGGACGGGACTCCTCTGGGGACCCCCTGTGCGTGCGGTCACGTGGGACGTGTCCTTCTGTGTCCGGCTCCTGTCACTGCGCACGGCGTCCTCCGGGTCCGTCCACGCGGTGACGGGCGGCAGGAAGTCCTCCCTTTCTAAGGCTGGATCACATTCTGTCGTACGGATGGAACGCATTTCTTTATCCATCTATCTGTTGATGGGCACTTGGGTTGTTTCCACTGATATGCTTTTAATGGCTCAGTTAAGCTTCCTGCACCGAGAATTTTCTCGCTGCGAGACGAGCCAGATACACGCTCCCCGTCCTGCACGACACTAGCTCCTGTCCGCTCACCCCCTTCACTTTACAGATGGGGAAACTGAGGCGCAGGGGGGAGAAGGACCAAGGTCGCACAGCCACCGGCGGGGCACCGGGTGGGGATGCCAGTGCTGGGGTGAGCCCCCCCCCTGCTCTCGGGGTGACCCCCCCGCCCGCCCGGCCTCCCCAACCACCCCTGCACCCACCGCGGCAGGGGACCCAGGAGGTCTGCCTCACCCTCAGAGCATCCGGCTGGGCAAAGTAGAGGGCTCCGGCGACAGAGATGGAGACCCACACGGCGAAGAGCTGGGCCGTCAGGTAGCTGAGCGGGAGGTAGCTCACCAGGACCTCCTGTTCCTCCGGGGGGCGCTTATAAGACAGGGTCTGGGCAGCGGTCTCCGTGGTCCACGTGATCTGCAAGGCACCTCAGCCGTCTCCCGTGGGCCATTCTGCCCGCGACCCCCAGGAGCACGCGCTCGTCCACCACGCGAGGCCGGGAGCCCCAGCCTGCCGGCTCCGGGCGGGACGCTCACGTTGTCGTGGCTGAGCATCACGGGCTTTGGGGGGCCGGCGATCGACATGCTGTAGAGCAGGGCACAGCGCTGGCTGGGCTTTTGGGAGTCGATGGCCTGGTTTAGCGTGTCTTCCGAGACGCCGTCTGCCAGGTCCAGGAAGCCTCTCCACTGCGGAGAGGGTGCCGCGTGGGCTCACGGGGGGGTGGCGGTGGGTGGCGGTGGGTGGGGCCTGTGACCTCCACCCCCGGGGCCGTCCCCTCCCCCACACCCCGCTCCCGGTGAGGACCTACAGAATACAGGTTCTGCAGCCGGGTCCGGATCTCCTCCTTGTACTGGACGATGGCCTTGAGGTGCTTCAAGTAGCCCTGGATCTGCCAGATACCGCGGGGCTCAGCAGGCGCAGGGCTTGCGAGCCGGCGACAGCTCAGCCCCGAGCCCCAGCGCTTCCTACCACGGGCGGCCAGGGCGCTCCCCGCCTTCCCTTTTATTGCGTCAAAACGCACATGAATTTGCCATTTTAACCATGTCAGAGCGGGCGATGCAGCGGCACTTAGCACCGCTAAATTCACGTTATGCGACCGTCACCCTCCGTCCGGTTCCAGAACGTTCCATCTCCCCGAAAGGGAAGCCGAGGCCCATCAGCGGTGACTCCCTTCCTCTGTCCTCCAGCCCTTGGAAACCACGCATCCGCTCTGCCTCTACGGACGTGCCGGTTCCAGAGGTTTCGGACACATGGAATCCCACACTATGTGCTGCTTTCCCTGAACGTCTCGTCTTCGAGATCCATCCACGTGCAAGCACCTCACTCCTCCTGCGGCTGAACGACCACTCCAGGGTGTGGACGGGTCGCAGTTTGCTTGTCCGTTCACGGGGTGGTGGCCAGCTGGGCCGTCCCCATGCTTTGGCTGCTGTGGACGTCTATGCACGGGTTTTTGTTTGCACACTTGTGCCCCATTCTCTTGGGGAGACACCTGGGAGCAGGATCGCTGGGTCACGGGATCATTCTCTGTTTGGCTTTGTAAGGAGCCGCCAGACTTTTCCAGCTTGTTCCACATCCTGACACTTGTCACCCGCTTTTCTTTTTTTAATTTCTTGTTTTCATTAATTAATTTTTTTTGAGAGAGAGAGAGAGCGAGCAGGGGAGGGGCAGAGAAAGAGGGAGACACAGAATCCGAAACAGGCTCCAGGCTCCGAGCTGTCGGCACAGAGCACGACGCGGGGCTGGAACCCACGAACCGCGAGATCATGACCTGAGCCGAAGTCGGACGCTCAACCGACCGAGCCACCCAGGCGCCCCTCTGCTTTTCTGATAATAACTGACTTCCTGGGCGCAAAGTGGTGTTTCGTGGCTTCACTCTGCGTTTTTCCCCGATGACGTTACGTGTTGGGCATCTTTTCACCGGCTCGTTTGCCATCTGCGTTTCTTCTCTAGAGAGAGGTACTTAAGTCCTTGGCCCAGTTTTTGAATTGGGACCTTAGTTGTGGTGGTTGTGTTTTGATTCTGATGTTGGGGGGTCCTGGGCACATTTTGAAGGCAGACTGCATTAATTTCCTACGGCTGATAGGGGCCACTAAGGTACGACATATTGTGTCATTTGGTCGGGTCTCTGCTTGGAGTCTCAAAATCCCCAAATCCAGGTGTGGGTGCTGGGTCCCTTTCTGGAGGCTCCAAGGAGGATTGTTCATTGGGACCCTGGCTCATTTGAGTTGTTGGCAGAATTCAGTTCCTTGCAGATGTACGACCGAGGTCTGCCTGTCTCCCTCCTGGCTGTCAGCTGAAGGCCATTCTCGGCTTCTAGATAGCGCCATAGCCCCTGGCTCGTCGTCCCTTCCTCCATTTTCAAAGCCAGAAACAGGGTGGGCTGCGTTCCTCTCCTGCTCTGAATCTCTCTGCTGTCCCTTTTGCCTCAAGTCTCCCGTCTCCAGCTGGAGAAAGTTCTGTGCTTTGAGGGGCTCGTGTGATTATAGGAGACCCACACGAATAATCCAGGATCATCTCCCATCTGAAGGGCCTTACTCTTAATCCTAAGAGCAAAATGCCTTTTTGCCATGGGAGGCACCCGGATCACAGGCTCCGGGAATTAGGACGTGGACGTCTTCGGCCATAATTCTGCTGATCCCCCAGAGCCAACAGGATTTCCTGAGAGAGGGGACCTGGGAATCTGGAGGGAGGAAGTACCCGCCACCTGAGGCAGGAAACTCAGAGGGAAGGCGCAGGTTGTGGGCGGGAAGATCGGGAGGTTAGGTCTGGATAGGCTGCGTCCGAGATGCTTCTTAGGCGTCCCAGTGCAACCATTGGGAAAGCTGGAGATGAAAACATGGGAAATGTCAGCAAATAGGTATCACCTGGGGGGAAAGTACAGGACCCAGAGCAGCCATCTGCTGTCCCAGACGTGGCCCTCTAACCGAGGTCCAAACAAGACGAAAGGCAAAGAGCAGCGGTCAGTGAGGACAGCCGAGCAGTGTAAGTTTCACTATTTACATCTTGCGCTGGCCCCTTAGCATCTGAGTTTGCGACCCCACCTTCGCAGGGGCTCACCTTCCAGGTGGCGAATGACCCAGGCCGCACATACCTCGTCACCTGCACAGACCCTGTCTTGGGTTTATTTACTTATTTAATAGACATAGAAAATTAGAATCGTGGTAAAAATAATACACAACAAAGTTTAACACCTTAACTACTTTTAAGCATATAGTTGGTGTGTTAATTATATTTGCATTCATGTGAAACAGAACCCCAAAACTTTCTCATCTCCCCCAAACTGAGACTCTGTCCCCATGAAGCACGGACTCCTCACCCCCCTGCCCCAGCCCTGGCTCCCACCATCTACTCTCTGTCTCTGTGGACAGGACTCCTCCGGGGACCTCCTGCGAGTGGGGTCGTGCAGGACGTGTCCTTCTGTGTGTGGCTCCTGTCACTGAGCACAGTATCTTCAAGGTCCATCCGTATTGTAGCGGGTGTAGAAATGTCCCTTCCTGGGGCGCCTGAGTGGCTCAGACAGCTAAGCGTCTGACTTCACCTCGGGTCATGATCTCACGAGTTCGTGGGTTTGAGCCCTGCGTCGGGTTCTGTGCTAACAGCTCGGAGCCTGGAGCCTGCTTCGGATTCTGTGTCTCCCTGTCTCTCTGCCCCTCCCCCACCCTCCCTCTGTCTCTCTGTCTCTGTCTCTCTCTCAAAAGTAAACATTTAAAAAATAAATAAACGTTTTTAAAAAAGGAATGCCCTTCCATTGTTTGCACGGACCACGTGGTGTTTGTCCATTCATCCGTCAGCGGACACGGGGTTATTTCCACATTTTGACTTCTGTGAATACTACTGCTGTGCACTTGTGCAAACAAATAATATCTTCGGGGGGGGGGGGCCTGGGTGGCTCAGTTGGTTAAGCGTCTGACTCTTGATGTTGGCTCAGGTCATGATCTCACTCACGGCTTGTGGGATCGAGCCCTGTGTCAGGCTCCGTGCTGACAGCCTGGGATTCTCTCTCTCCCTCTCTCTCCGCCCCTCCCCTGCTCTCTCTCTCTCTCACACACAAGATGAATAAATAAGCTTAAAAAAAAACAATCTTCGAGATCTTTCCTTCACTTCTTTTGGGTATGTAGCCAGCAGTGAGATTGCTGGTAACTCTGAAGTTTTGAGGAAACGTCGTGTTGTGTCCCACAGTGGCTACGCCATTTTACGTTCTCACCAAGACCAAGAGAGGATGGAATTTATTGAGGAACAATTTCCATGCACAGAACAGCCACAGACACTGACACGCAGTGGAGACACCCATTCTCGTTGCTCTTGGGTGCATATCCGCGGGTGAAAGGGCTGCACCACATAGTAGGTGTTTATCTAACCTGACACGAAACTGTCAAACCGCTTCCCAGGGTGGCGGTACCATCTTGCAGTGAAGGTCCTCATCAGTGCTCGGTATTACCCGTTTTATTTTTATTTTTTTTTTTTAATTTTTTTTTCAACGTTTATTTATTTTTGGGACAGAGACAGAGCATGAACGGGGGAGGGGCAGAGAGAGAGGGAGACACAGAATCAGAAACAGGCTCCAGGCTCTGAGCCATCAGCCCAGAGCCCGACGCGGGGCTCGAACTCACGGACCGCGAGATCGTGACCTGGCTGAAGTCGGACGCCCAACCGACTGCGCCACCCAGGCGCCCCTTACCCGTTTTAAAATCGGAGTCATCCTGGGGCGCCTGGGTGGCTTGGTCGGTTGAGCGTCCGGCTTCGGCTCAGGTCATGACCTCGCGGTTCGTGAGTTTGAGCCCCGCGTCGGGCTCTGTGCTGACAGCATAGAGCCTGGAGCCCGCTTCCGATTCTGTGTCTCCCTCTCTCTCTGCCCCTCCCCCACTCTCTCTCTTTCAAATATAAACGTTAAAAATTAAAAAAAATTTTTTTTTGAGTCATCCTAGTGGGTGTTTCATGGTGGTCGTCTTTGCCTCCTTACCTCTGTCTGCTTGTCATGGTCCTCTTAGTGTCCCCATTTCACAGGGAGTCGCTTTGAACCATGGCGCCCACGCCCAGAACCACCTCACTCGGATCAGCCCCGGACCCAGGGAAATTCAGGGTTCCCCCCAAATAGGACCTGTTGTACCATCCCAATAAGATGAAACATCCAGAACAGGCAAGTCCACAGAGACAGAAAGTGGGTTGCCAGGGGCTGGGGCCAGGGGAGTGAGGAGTCCCCACTAATAGGCACAGTGTTTCCTTTGCAGGTGATGGAATGTTCTGGAACCAGACAGAGGTCATGGTTCCACAATACTACGAACGTACTAAATGCCACAGAATCGTACACTAAAAAGGGTTAAGAGGGTAAATTGTACATTGTGTGCATTTTACCGTAATAATTTTTGTTTTAAGTGGGAGGAGGGGATCTGCCTGCTTTGCAGCGGGAAGATATAAGTCCCAGTTGGGGGTGCGTTGGGGGTTAGCGCCGGAACCCGCACTGGGCCAGAACATCACTCGCCTGGCACCCCACAGGGACCCTGGGCCCATCCATCTGTGGAATCCGCGGTTCCCATCTCATGAGAGACCACGGAGGGTGGGTCCATCGCTCATTGGGTTCCTTTTCTTTATTAGGCGAAGTTCGTGCCTTTGCACGAGTCACTAACCTGGATGATTTTCTGCAGCTGTCTGTCATTATCCACCACAAAGATGTCCATCTCCGAGCTGTCGGCGATGACCTGGCAGGTTTTTGGAGAGTTGGTGGACAAGATGCCAACGGAGAAGCCTCTGGAAGCAGAACCCAAGAAGTGAGGACCCACTGGTGAATCGGAGGGCTCCCAGGAGGCCGGTTGTGTCATAGGAGAGACAGTCCCTCGGGTGGGGCATAGAGTATAGCAGACATCCCCTGACACCCCCAATATGCCTTGTTTGAAGGTGGGACTCAGGGACAGCTTGGGCTTGGACCCTGCCTTCCAGGGGTTCCCCAACAGTCTGGACAGGTAGAGGGAGGTCTCAATGCTGGGGAGCCCTGGGGAGGCTTCTTGGAGGAGGGCTCATGGGAGCTGGGCTTCACAGGATGTGTTTGAGTTCGACAGGTAGAGAGTGTCGGAAGGGCGAGCTGGCTGGTGCCCAGGGCTGGGCCCTTGACAAATCCCACTGAGCACAGACCAAGCAGGAGCCTTAGTTTGCTCCCTGAACTGGGGACTCTTCCGTGCGACCCCTATGGATTCAAGAGCGGGGGGGTGGGTGGAAGGAGGGGGGAAGAGCCTTTGCTGGACGGATGGCTTCCTGACTCCGTGTACCCCAGGGCGATACCTGGTACCTCTTACCCAGCCATGATAGCACCAATGCTCGCGATGACCCACTCCTCGGAGTTTAACCCCATGATCCCCACGCTGTGGAAGCGTTGCAGGCCCAGCTGGGAAAGGAGGCCCTTGTGAGGCACAGGGGGCTCACCGACCACTTGCCCCCACGTGCCCAGGAGCCTCAGGCTGAGAACCTTGGGCTCTCTTTTCTCTGTTGACCATTGGTGTTTCTGTTTGCTAATAGAATAGCCCATCCCCCCCCCCCATTACAAGCTACCATATATATTCACGTGGAGCAGGGGTTCTCAACATGGATGATTCTGCCTTCCAGATGACATTGGGCAACCTCTGGAGACATTTTTGGGGAAGGGGATGGTGCTGACATGGAGTGGGCGGGCACCGGGGTTGCTAAGAAACATTGTCTAATGTACAGGACAGACCCCTCCACAAAAGAATGATCCAGCCCCCAATGTTGATAGATGGAGATTGAAAAACACGGAGAAAAGACAAGCAAAATGCCCGCCCCCGACATTTTTATGAATAAATATTTGATAAAATCTGGGCAGTACTTATCCCTATATGATCATAACCCACCATTGTTCGTAAAACCATGCATCCTATTTCCCCAGCCTTTAACTATTTCTCTATGGTGTCAGATATAACACCTCTATGATATTGTATTGTAGAGAAATGTCATAATTTAGCGACTGCCTCCCCACCCCGCTTTACTGGTTGATACTTAAGTAAGATCCTTTCTCCCGTCTACTTTTATTAGATACAATATTGGGGTGAACATCTGCATGACCCAAGCTCTGGATTCCCGCATGATCACTTGTGCTGACATCTGGATTGACTTAAACATTCAAGATGATACACACTCGCCCGTTCCGGCAGGACCAGGTGATGCCATCCCCAGGTGGGTCGTTCCCGTCCACTCCAGACTCTTGGGCACCACTGCCCACTCCTAGTGTCCTCGTCAGGCAGGCACGACACACCCAACACGGCCCGAACAAAATTGCTGACGTTACCCACCCCCCTCTGCCGGCCCCGCCCTCCGCAATCTCAGTCAGTAGCAGTCCCTCCAACGTGCACTGGCCAGAAATCTTGATTGTCCTCAGTGCCTTTCATTCTCTCTGACACCCAATCCGTCAAGAAATGATGTTGGCTCTGCCTTCAGAATCTGACCACCTCCTATCCCCTCCCCGGGTACCACACAGGTCTCCAAAACGTCTTCATCTCAACCTCCACGGGTCTCTCTTTTTCCACGCAGCCTGTAAGCAACCAACTCTGGGCGCATCCCTCCTCTCCCAGCCCTCCATGGCTCCCACCTCACTCCTGGCAAAAGCCCCACAAGACCCAGCAAGACGTGTCCCCGTTACCCCCTGCCCTCACCACCTCCCTCTCTCCTTTCCACTCATTCTGCTTCAGCCACATGGGCCTCTTTGCCATTCAGTCAACATGCATGGCACTGTTCTGCCCCAGGGCCTTTGCACATTTGTTCCCACTACCTGCAACACTTATCCCCAAATACTCACTTGGCTCCCTGCCCCCCACCAAGTTGTTTAAGCCTTTGCGAAAATATCACTCTCAGAGAGGCTCTCACTGGCCACCATATGTTAAAATTTCCACCCCCACCCCTAGCTCATCTACCCCCTTCCCTGCTTTAGTTTTCTCTGGACCACTGTCTACTTCACACATCCTTGTTTATTACATTGACTGGAGAAGTCCCTTGAGGTCCCTTATCCTCTTTCCTAATCTGATAGATGGGCATTCATTCATTGAAGACACACCCAAGGGGCTGGTTCTGTTCTAGATTCTGGGGGCCTGCAATGAATGAGGCAGACTGGCCCCTTGCCCTCATAACTGACCAGCTAGACAAATAAATCATACAATCATACTCCCAGGTGGCCATGAAAGCTGGGCAGAGAATTTTCAAAGGAGCTGTGATAGAGATTAGTGTGTGTGTGTGGGGGGGGGGGGGGGGGGTGAGTTTGGGGACCCAGGGTGATCAGGGATGACCTTGCTCAAAAGATGAGACATTGCAGAAGAGACACATTAACAGTAACAACCATAAGAATAAATGCTGAGTAATACCTCGTGCGAGCCAGGAGCTATTTGATATGTGTCCACTCACTGAATTCTTGTAGCAAACCTTTGTGCGAGGTGCTATGATGTTTTATTTTATGTATTTGCACACAAAAATCCTAATATAACAATGTTTTATACTAAATTCAATACAAATAAGGTATAAAATGGATATGGCCATATAGAACTTTCCTCTTTTTAATATTATATATATATTTATTTCTATATATAAATATATAACATATATAATATTTATATTATATTAATATTATATAATTTAATATTATATAAATAAATAAATATATATAAATAGATACAGAACCCCCATGTTACAGATGAGGAAACGAGGTCATGATAAGAATGAGTAATTTTTCAAAAACGTTAATTGAAATACGGCTGACACCTAATGTTACGTTAGCTTCACGTGCACAACACCGTGATTCCGCAAGTCTACACGTGATGCTGTGCTCACCGCAAGTGTAGCCTAGGTCATTGTTTAACGAAAAAGATCACAGGCGCTGAAGGTACACCTCTCGATGAGGGAGGTTAAGTGATTTGAGCAAGAACGCGCAGACGAGGGCAGAGCCAGGGGAAAGGATTCGCGCCCGCCCCGCAGGCGGGGGAGGCAGAGGAGGAGCGGCGCGCAGGCGCAGTGGCGCGGGCGCGGCAGTGCGCAAGCGCGCAGAGGCGGGCAGCGCGCAGGCGCGGGAGGGCACGTGGTACCTTGAGGAAGGCCTTGGCGTAGTACTCCATGTAGGTGAGCAGGTGCCAGCCGGTCCTGTGCTTGGAGCCGAGCGCGATGTAGTTGGCGTCCTTGATGGCCGTGTTCATGACCATGTCGTGCACGGTGACGGGCGCCTGGCTGGCGAAGGCGTCCTCCTGCCGCAGGTGCACCTCGCCGTCGCGCCTTGACGTCCAGTAGCGGGGGCCTGTGGGCAGGCGGGGCCCGGGGGCCAGGAGACCCCAGGTAGGTGAAAGGGGGCAGGGCCGTGGCTCTGAAGGCGGCCCAGGCGGGCGGAGGACGCAGGGGAGAGTCGGGGGGCGAGGGGCAGGGTGGCGGGAGGGAGAAAGACACAGCCGCCAAGGGAGGAAGACAGGTGAATGGGGAGACGCAGAAAAGGGCGCAGGGGTGGGTGGACAGACAGATGCACTGGGCCCCCTGCCAGCAAGCAGGCAGCTCAGTGACGGGCCCGCCACCCTCCCGTGCACTTACCAAGGACCGGGCACCTATGACAAACTGCATCCACCTTCGTTCACGGCCTCCCTCCCCTGCTCCCGGCCAGCCCCACACGACCTCAAAGATCCCAGCGCCGGCTCAGCCACCCTTGGCCATCCCCGAGGGGCTTCTCTGGGAACCCCACCTCCTCTAGGACGCCACACCCGGGGCCCAGGGAGTCCCCCACCTCTGGCTTTAGTTTCTGCTCGGTGATCTCTCTCCTTTGGACTCGGCTTGTTCGAGGACATGGTGTCCACAGTACCCTCGGCCTCTCTTCTTCTGTCTGGGAGGCATCTGGTCTCCTGGGACTGAAGAGACATACGTTCATATAAACCCAGTGACAGTCCGTTGGAGGGCTGGGAGTGTCCAGCTGTGTGGGGAGGCACAGGGGTCCCACCTGGTCACGGGGGTGATTGGACAAGGCTACTCTAAACGGGGGGTGGGGGGGGGTTCGAGGTGACCAAAGAAGAGAGGGAGAAGGAATCTGAGAAGAGAGAGTAATGTGATGAAGGCCATCAGGGCTGGAGTATAAGGAAAAGTGGGGGCCGTAGAAGGAAATGAAGTGCGATGGGTGGTGAGGGCAGAATTGGCATGGGGTCTTGACGGCTGTGTTACTAAAAAATTGCTTTCTGGTGCCTTCTGTGCCCATCCCCCACCCAGTATGCAGACTGGTTCATCCCTGGCAGGAGCTGAAACATCTCAGCTCCCAACCCCTCCCTTCCACCCACAGCACATTTTTACCCTTCTCTGTCGTCGGGAAGGCAGTGCCCACTTCTGTCTCCAGCTTCTTTTTATCAGCTTTGGTCACCCCCTCCTCTGCTGTAGCCACAGGGGGGACAGCCGTCTCTAGACTGGATATCTAGAATGTTCCCGCCTGTGGCCAGCCTTTGTGACATCACTGTCGATTCCGTAGCCTGGAGCCTCGATGGCGACATGGCCTGTTGCTGCTTTGCAGAGGCCCGTCTTAGGGGACCGGGGTCTACCCAAGAAGGCCCTTCGCTATCTGTACCCCACCCCCCCTCCCCCCAGCCAGTGGTTCCCAAGGTGACAGCCCCCAGGGAGGAGGCAGCAGCAAAGTCTTGGGTTTCAGTCTGGCGGCTGGAGGGACTTTATAGTCTCTGCCCGGCTTTGTTACAGCTTTGAGTGAACGTGTTCACGAGGGAGTAGTGACAGGGAGTAGTGAGGCAGAGGAGGCAGCCTGGAAGGCACTGGCAGCACGGAGGCTAAGGAAGCCGACTGTTTCAAAGAGCTAGGCAAGGTCGGCAGAAGGTCGACAAGGACTTTGATTCGCTGTGCCTGGTTGTTCATGAATTCATGTGTCCATCCAGCACCTTCTGGAGATGGACTAGTCTCCCAGATGTGTAGGCAGCTGCATTTGCACAGATTGTTGGACCCTGTTGAGGCCGATTTGCACACAGATCATTTAGAGGCCTCTTTGGCTCCTCAAAACTTTAAGCATCACATTATCGTGTGACCCCACAATCCCATTTCCGGGGACATACCCAAGAGAATTGGAAGCAGGGACTCGACGAGGGTTTGCACACTCCCGTTCAAAGCAGCATGATTCACGGTAGTTCAGAGAAACCCACCGTCCACTGGTGGATGAAGGATAAATGGTGGTCCATCCGCGCAATGGAGTATTACTCAGCCTTAGAAAAGGGAGGACGTTTCTGGCACCTGCTACAACGCGGATGAACCTTGAAGACATTATGCTCAGTGAGATAAGCGAGACACAAAAGGACAAATACTGTAGGATTCTAGTCCTGTGAGGTACTTAAGTCAGATTCATAGAGACAGAAGGGTTGCTGGGGGTGGCTGCTGAAGTTCCAAATCTTGATTGACTTGGAGGTGAGTCACGTGAGGGGGAGAGCCAAGGGGGTTTCTGGCTGAAGCCACATGGTTCTGGGGCCAGCAGTGGGAGCCCCCGCTTCCTGCTTTGGCCAGCAGTCTCCCGAATCAGCAGCTTCTTGGGCATGAACAGTGTTCCTGATCACAGCGGGGGCAGTGTGATTCCACCGTTGGCTGCTGTAGAGGTGATGGGGCCTTCTCGACGGGGGGCGTAGGGGTCGTTCCTGCACATCCTCCTCCAGGCTTATGAGCGATTCCCACCCCCCAGCTTTTTTGAGCTGTAATTTACAAACCATAAAATCCACCCATAAATCCACCCAGTGCAACGATTTTTAATAAAGCCATGCGATTGTGAAGCCATCACCATATTCTAATTTTTGGCCGCTTCCATCACCCTGAAAGGACCTCATTCCAGCCTCGGGCAACTGCTGATCTGCTCTCTGTCTCCATAGCTTTGCCTTTAGTAGAAATGTCCTATAAGCAGAGTAATGCATCGTGTGGTCTCTTGCGTCCGGCCTTTTCCACGTAGCGTAAGTTCATCTGCACGTGTTGGTTGTTCGAGCATTTTTATGGTTGAGTGGCATTCCATTATTTGGATGTACTATGTTTTGTGTAGTGACTCATTGGTTGACGGACATTCGGATTTTCTCCCAGCGTTTGGTGCTTATGCATAATGCCGCTATGAACGTTGGTATACAAATTTTTGCGTCATCTCTCCTTGGCATCGTATATACGTGGGAGCTGAATTGCTGGGTCACATAGTAACTCTTTGTTTAACGTTGGAGGAAACTTCTAAACTTGCTTTCCAAAGTTGCGGTGCCATTTTGCATTCCCACCAGCAGAAACGGGTTCCGGTTCTGCACATGGTTGCCAACAGTTGGCATTGGGTGGGTGGGCGTAAAGTGCTGTGACGTTGTACTTCCCACTTGCACGTCCTTGATGATTAATGACATTGGGCATCTTTTGACATGTTTAGTGGCCACCTGTCCATCTTTACAGAAATGTTCCATCAAATCCGTAAATTGAGTCATTCGCTTTTTTATTGTTGAGTTGTAAGTGTTCTTTACATATTCTGGCGACAAGTTCTTAAACCGATACGTGATTCTTTTTTTTTAATTTTTTTTTTTTTTGAGAGAGAGAGCAGGGGAGGGGCAGAAAGAGAGAGAGGGAGAGAGAATCCTAAGCAGGCTTCGTGCCCAATGTGGAGCCTGACATGGGGCTTGATCTCATGACTGTGAGATCATGACCTGAGCCGAAATCAAGAGTCGGACACTTTACTGACAGAACCACCCAGATACCCCTAGCAGATACATGATTCTTAAGTACATTTGTCTTTTTACCTGCAGAGTTGACGTTTATTTGCCAGTATCTTTTGAAGGACAAGAGTTTTTGATTTCGGTGAGGTCCATTTTTTGTCATTTCTTTTAATTTGTGGTTTGTGCTTTGGTGTCATATCTAAGAAATCATATCTCAGAAACCTAATCCAAGGGCACATTTATCCCCCCTAATGTTGTGTAGTTTTGGCTTTTCCATTTAGGTGCGTGATAACATTTTGATTTCGTTTTTGTGTGTAGTGTGAGGTGATGGTCTAAGTTCTCCGAAGTGTTGTGTTTGTTTTTGGCGTATTCCATCATTATTTGTTGAAAAGCCTGCCCTTTCCCATTGAGTCACCTTGGCACCTTTATTAAGGATTAGTTGACCATAAGCGTGAGCTTGCATTTCAGGACTGTCTGTCTTATTGATGTCATAGCACAGTTTCGGTCAGTAGCTTTGTGGTAAGCTGTTAAGACAAAAGTCCTGTATCTTTGTTCTTTTATGAAAGGCAGGGATCCGGTGGATGGAGGGACAGGACAAGGAAGTCATCATGGGGGATAGAAGGATTACACGGACTCTGAGCCTGCAGGCTATTTGTGACAGCATGGGAGGGCTTAAGAAAATGACGGGTTCTGAGTTCAAATTCGTATCTCAAAGCAGTTTTCAGAGAATCGGTGCTGTGGATGCTTTTGGTGATTCCTTACCTCTTCTAGCTTCAGGTTGCTGAATTATAGCGTGGCATGAATTCTCACCAGATCTTTGTGTGAAAGTCAGGGCATTTGCTGAGTTAGAGGGACGCTGAGAATGGAAATATTTGGAATGGTGTCATTTGGGAAGAAGACTGTATGATTTTGAGTGCCCGCCCTGAACTTTAGAATCCCACTCAGGCTCCCTTGCCAGGAAGGAAGACACAAAAGGCAGCCCCTTCCCGCCATCTAGAGAGGCAGTAACCTTGCAATAGAAGCCAGTTTTCGCGCTAGCTCCCTCCTTGCCTCCACACCGAAAAGGGAGTGAAGCCTCAAAATTGCTTCAGGAGGCCACTTAACTTACAATGCCAAGCCTTGGGATGAAAAATCGCAAACGACCTATAAGATTTGGGTAATGTAGAAACGGGCAGGCAATCTGGGTCCTACATGTGGGGTCGGATTCCGAGGGTGCTACACCGGGAAAGGAGAAATGAGTTTATCCAGATAGGTGTGCGGACGAGAGGTGTTAGCTTTATTAGACTGGCTCGAGCAGCTGGGGGTTGTTCTGGTTGTAAGTGGGGTTGGTGAACTGGAAGCTGAACTCGGTGCCGGCCTTAGTGACTACAGATGAGATGCCAGAAGGAGAGAGACAGAGCACAGGCCGGGGAGGGGCAGAGAGAGGGAGACACAGAATCCGAAGCGGGCTCCGGGCTCCGAGCCATCAGCCCAGAGCCCGACGCGGGGCTCGAACCCACGAACCGTGAGATCACGACCTGAGCCGAAGTCGGACGCTTGACTGACTGAGCCACCCAGACAGGCCCTAGCATGTTTTTTTTAAGTGGGAGAAAAATCAAGTTCATGTCTTTTAACATGCCCTTTAAATAACTTATTTTGGGGCGCCTGGGTGGCGCAGTCGGTTAAGCGTCTGACTTCAGCCAGGTCACGATCTCGCGGTCCGTGAGTTCGAGCCCCGCGTCGGGCTCTGGGCTGATGGCTCGGAGCCTGGAGCCTGTTTCCGATTCTGTGTCTCCCTCTCTCTCTGCCCCTCCCCTGTTCATGCTCTGTCTCTCTCTGTCCCAAAAATAAATAAAAAAAATAAATAATAAATTAAAAAAAATAACTTATTTTGAGGCCATAGTAAGTTACGGGAAAGTTTCCAAAACACTCCACAAAGAACTCTCCATCCTCTGTGCAGATGCATTTCCTCCGTCACCCGCTGCCCGCCCCCCGCCCCCACCAGATTGTCCGTTAGTCTTTTTCCGAGTAACCTGCAGGCGTTTCGCACAACTATTCCGAGTGTGTATCTTCTCCAGACAAGGACGCTGTCCCACACAAGCAGCACACAAGCCTCCACATCGGCACATCACCATCTCCGCCTGACCATCCATTCCTCGCATCCCATTCTTATTTTCTTTTTTTTTTTAATTTCTTTTTAATTTTTATTTTTGGGACAGAGAGAGACAGAGCATGAACGGGCGAGAGGCAGAGAGAGAGGGAGACACAGAATCGTAAACAGGCTCCAGGCTCCAGGCTCCGAGCCATCAGCCCAGAGCCTGACGCGCGGCTCGAACTCACGGACCGCGAGATCGTGACCTGGCTGAAGTCGGACGCTTCACCGACTGCGCCACCCAGGCGCCCCCCGTTCTTATTTTCTTAAGTGATCCGGTACGGCCCCCCTTTCTGGTCCAGGGTCATGTGCCCTTAGCTGCCATGTCTCCTCAGACTCCTTCAGTCTCCTTCACCCCCTCTCTGTCTCTCTCCCCTGGCCCGGCTTGAAGAACACGGGCCTTGCCTTCTATAGAGTGAGCCCCATCTCGGGTTCGCCTGCTGCTTCCTCTTGACCAGACTGGGGCCATGACTCTGCCACTTAAAGGAGCCACAGAGGGGCCCCATGTAACTGGCCTGTGCGGTTCACTTCCTCACAGCAGTTTGGGACCTGCAGCTCAAAAGCGCTCTGGAGCCAAACCCCAATTTTTTTCTTTAACTTGGAACAGACGATTTTCTGGGTCCCAGGGGTATGTTAAATTATATTGATCATTA